GGTGCATGGCTGTAGTCCCAGGTGCTCAGGAGGCTGAAGCAGGAGGGAACATAAATCACTGTTAACCCTGAACTCCTTGATCCCAGTTCAAGGTTAACAGTGATCTATGATCAAACCACTACATTCCAGCCGGGGCATCAGAGTGAAACCCTGTCTCCCTGTCTCAAAAATAAATAAATAAATAAAGGTCTGGGAACAAGTACCCACAGAGCACCCTTAGACAGATAGGTAGCCCAGCGCCCTTACCCCCAGGTGGTCCTACCCCCTTTTCCCTAAGGTCCCTGGCAGGCTTGCATCCCAGCTGCCCAGGGCAGTTATCTGCTCATTGACAGACCCCACAGGGCTTCGTCCCTCCCTTTCCACCTCCCATTTCCCCATGAGCCTTTCCTGGGATGCCTGCCAGGTGAGCTGTCTGCTTGGGTCAGTTTCCGAGAGCCCAGCCTAGGCCAAGCGAGTTCTAGTCCACATCCCAGCGTGGCCTCCTGACCAGCAGCATCACCTGAAACTGGTTAGACATGCAGATTCCCAGGCCCACCTGCTAAATCAGATTCTGGGATGCAGCCCCGTGATCAGTGTCTAAGACCTCCAAGTGATGGATGCAGGTTGCAGTTGGAAAACGATTGGACTAAGTTCTTAGGAAAAACCCCAGGGAGGGGCAGCCACCTGCGGGAGGAGACAGATTGAGGGCGGTGGCTCGTCCCTGCTAGGGGTCCCGGGATGCGTACTCAGGAACCCCAGAGGGCTGGGTTTTGATTCGAGGGAGGGCCGATCCATTAATGAGGTTGGGAAGATGAGGCTGCCGATGCAGCGGAAGCTGAGGAGGGAGGAGACTTGAGGACCTGAGGATTATCCCCAGGCAGGGACCTCCCACCCTCCGGAAACACCCGGCAGGGAAACCAACTTCACCAAACCGTGGAGTGGGGCCTGGGCCTGGGCTGGAGCGAGGTTCAGGAGGGGCAGGGCAGCAGGTGCGCAGGCATCCGCAGGGCTGGGCAGGATAACCGCGGGGACCCCTGTTTCTCTGGAGGGGCGCTGTCCACGTCCCATGTGAGCCTCAGGACACTCCCGTGGGGCGGAGACCCCGAGACGCCCGAGGTTGTGCTCTTGCCACCCGCCCCTGCCTGCGGGGGGCCGGGCAGGGAGGGAGGCCCAGCGCGCCCTGTGTGTCCGCAGTGTTCACGGGCAGCGGGGACGCCTGCGCCCGAGCCTTCGACGCGCAGTCGGGAGAGCTGCGGAGGGTGTTCCGAGGCCACGCGTTCATCATCAACTGCCTCCAGGTAGGTCCCTCCACCCGGCCTGAGGCTGGCGGGGAGGTGTGGCCCCAGCCGCCGCCCGCGGGAGGGAGGGTGCCCCTGCCCCCATAAGTCCACGCGGGCCGCCGTCCCCTCACCCCCCGCCTCGCCGGTGACGCCGCCCCCGCGCCCGCAGGTGCACGGCCAGGTGCTCTACACCGCCTCGCACGACGGCGCCCTGCGCCTCTGGGATGTGCGCGGACTCCGGGGCGCCCCGCCGCCCATGCGCAGCCTCTCGCGCCTCTTCAGCAACAAGGTGGGCTGCGCCGCCGCGCCCCTGCAGCCGGCCTGAGCCCCCGGGGCCCCTGCGGACGCCCGCTCAGATGCCCTCCGGATCCCAGAGCGCCCAGCCCTGTGCCCCGCGGCGGCGGCGCCGGCGTCCGATGGCCGGGGAGGAGCGAGGAGGCCCTGGCTGGAGGAGCGCCCGGAGCAGGCGTCTCGTTTTTCCTGGGTGGCCGGGAGGCCCTGGGAGCGGGCGTGTTCGCCCTGGGGGCCGGCCACGTTTTCCTTTTCGGGTGGCTCCTGCCCTCCCTCCCTACCCCTGACCCGGCGGGAGGCCTAGTCCCCGGCCCCTCCTGGGACTCTCCCACCTCAGGGCTGCAGGCGGACCGCGCCGGCACCCCCAGCCCCACGCAGCTGGGCCTTTCCTGCTGAGAGGAAGTGACTTTACAGAAGCCACTGAAACTGGTTGTTTTGGCAAATTGTCGTCTCGCGGGCCTAGGGGGGAACTGAAATACACAGCCCGCGAGTTAAAAGTGCTCCTGTGTTCTCTTGTTTTGCAAACTGAGTCTCAGCTTCTTTTCGGAGCTTGGGATTCCAGGAACCCAGGTCAGCGGGCTGCCTCTCACACCGGCCTGGGCGGCCTTGGGGGTGACTTGTGGGCGAGATGCGGGGTTACTGCCAGTGTTACTGGTGCAGGGAGTGGACGCGGAAGAAGCCAGGGAGAAAGGGAGCTGCTCTTTAGCCTGTGCAGGTGACAGCGGGGACCCTGCTTGGGAGCACCCGTCATTTTCTAGCATGAATCCAGGAGGTCCCTTCAGGGTCTGGAGTGGAAGGGTGGGGGAGCTCATGCACAGGAGCTAGGGCAGCGCTTGGTGCTGGGAGGCACGCCACACACGCCAGAGCCACCGGGCACCCAAGGGGAGCCCTGTGCCCAGAGGCTAGAGGGGCCAGTGGGGCTCAGTCTGCCAGAGGCCCTTCGGGGGACCCCTCAGCATCCCTCCCAGCACCTGAAGGGGGTTCTTCTCTTCAGGCCCGAGGTGGTGCCACTTTCAGCATTCATGTGTCCCGGCTGGCCTGGGTGCCAGGAGAGAGGCAGGTGACAGCACCTGCCGTGTAGGGCGCAGCATCTCGCTGCGGAGAGAAGCGTGTGGTGCAGAAGCAGCCCCTTCAAGTGGAGCCGCCCCTTCAGGTAGAGCAGCGAGCACTTCGCAGTCTTTTTTTTTCCCCCCACCAGTTGTTAAATGACCTTTATTGAAATATTTTCCTCTGTGCTTCTTAACTAGCTGGGCATTCCACAGCACCACTGTTGATGTCATCTATGATGTCATGAGGGTGCAGCCGTCAGCATTACAGCCCACAGACTGGGCAGTCCCCAGGATCTCTTTAATGGTTCCAGAGAGTTCTCTGGCTAAAGATCGGTGCCGCATCTGTCGAGCAATGTTGACAATCTCTGTTTCTGTCTGTCTCTTGGCGGTTCCTTGAGGGCTTTGATGATCAGGGCAGAGGCAGAAGGCACCACCTCAATCTGGGCCTGTCTGTTCTGAATGGTCAGTTTCACTGTGATCCTCAGGCCCTTCCAGTCACCGGTTGCCTTGGCAACGTCATCACCAACCTTTTTTGGAGACAGACCCAGGGGGCCGATCTTGGGGGCCAGCACAGAAGTGGCACCGACTTCACCCTTTGTGCATCTCAGGTATACCTGAGGCATGCGGGCTCCCAAGACGCCACAGGTGGTCCGGTCCTCCCTTCCCACTTACACGTGGAGAAGCTAAGGCTCAGAAAGGCTGAGGCTTGGCCTGGACGGCACAGCACGGGGAAGGCCTCTAGGAGGCAGTGGCTTTAGAGCCCCATATGAGAAAGATTCCGCGCGTGGCAGGGCTGAGGGATGCTCCATCCCACAGCCCTGGCTACACTAGAGCACGCACCGACTTTGATCTTGTTGGGGTCGAACTTCGGCGGCATGGTGGAGGCGGCTGGTATCAGATGAACCCGGATTCAGGACGACCGAAGAAAGTTGCACCTTGGCCTCCTCCAAGCTGAGAGCCGAAAGCCACTTCATAGTCTTCTTAATGCAGAAGAGGCTTCATCAGCCAGGGCCTGGCCGCCAGGGCTCACCTGTCAGGCCTGATGGGCAGGTCCATCCTCGGGCCAGATGAACAGGCAGGAATTGCACTGTGGGCAGTAGGAAGGACGCAGGCATTGTGACTCCTCTAGGCCAAATCTCCAAAACCTAGGAACCAAAGCACCCCCGGTCTCCACCTGGGGAAAAGGGGCTGGTTGGGAGGCAAGCAGACCGGTGCAGGAGGACCTGCAGAAATGGCACCACACACTGTTCTCTGGGTGAGACTTAGGCACACACAGATCTGGGGGGTGGCCAGGTCTTGCTGAATGGGGGAGCCATTGGGGCCTGTGGCTGCAGCAAGGGACGTTCCTCCCAGAGAGGAGCTTTCCCTCATGCTGAAGGGAGGTTCTGGAGGCACAGGCAGAGAACCACCTTGAGTGCTGCCAGCCAGCCCTGGGCCTGCGCAGATGCTAACACTGACTCCTGGCTGCCAAAGACACTGCTGCTTGGTGATGCTGTGCTCTGGCCTGAGCAGCCCTTGCTGACACATCAGCTCTGGTCCCCACCTTATCTAACCACAGCAGAGAATGGAGCAGGCATCAAGTCATCCAGAGAAACCCAGTGGGCTGCAGACCCAAAACACGGGCGCTGCACTCACTTTGCATGTTGATAGCATCATGCATTGGGGTAATTTCTACTTCCACCACACAGAGAGCTTTGCTAGATGTTGAGAACATAAAGATGGCCAGATGACCATTCTCTCTCTGGTTTCTGAGAGCCTGAGAGACATGTTGAGTGAGAGACTCGGATCCCCTGAACCAAGGCCTGGTCCCCTTCCAGCCATACCACTGTCGATTTGCTGTGAAGGAAGAAACCAGGTGTCTGCTTTTGATCATCAATTGAGTTGGCTAAGGGAGGAAGCACAGGAGCTACCCTTAGGACAGATGGGCAAAAACACAGGGACGGGGCAGGGCAGGACCAGCATCAAGAACACCTGACGAGTTGTGCACACCATCACGCAGGTGTGGGCTGCCCTCACCTGCCTGCCACGCACCCATGCCCGCTCCCACTCCTCATGGCACCCAGCCTCCCTCCTTGACAGCATCAGCAATCATGCCATCCGCCCCCAATTTTCTCTCCCCACATACTGTCCTGCCCCAAATACTAATTTGTCCCACATCTGGAATGTTCTTTTTCCTCTGATTCTCCAAGGAGAACCCTCCCAGGGCCCCACCTCTGTAACAGCCTCAGCACCCTCCTGCCCCCTCCACCACCACCTGTCCAGTTTCACAGGGTCAGTCGTAGGTGGAGCAGCCTCAGCCCGAGTCTCCGTCCCTGGAGGGCAGCCCGTCCTGGACACAGCGCATGCCCAGAACTGCCCCCCACAGCCGGCTTCCTGTGCAGCTCTCTCTCCACAAGACACGGAATAGCGGAATAGCGTCGGTGCCTGCTGATGTGGCCCTGCCTCTGTGATGGCTGAAGACAGAGGGGAAGCTAGAAGCCACGCCCAAACCAAGCTCAGGACAGCGACTTGTTAGCCAAAAGCTTCTAATCAGGCCCAAATCCAAGTGTGACGTTGTCTCGAATGAGGCTGAGACTCCACGTCACTTCAGCTCACTGGGCACTTCGAAGTAAACCCTGACAGGTGCGTTTCAGTCCCGGGCCCAGGGTCCCCCCCACCACCCAGCTTTGCATGCGGCATTGTTCACAGCAGATGTCTTGCTGCTTCTCAGGTCATCCTTCCATCGCCTCACAAAACCTCTGGAAACAAACATCTTGCAATCGAAACGAAGCGCTAGCCACACAGACACTTTGCACACCTACAGCTGGGGAGGCTGAGTAACTTACTGCAGAGTTAGGCTGACAATTTTGGAATATATTTTCCACCTTTTATTTCCATCAGTATCATCCATTTAAAAAGAATCACAAGAAGATTCCCATCAGTCCGAACTGGAGCATCCATGCTATATGAAAAAGTGGAAGCATTTCTGCCGGCCCCACATGACCCATCCTGCCTTCATCAGAGGAGCTTCTAGCGCCTTCTGGAAGGGAAAAGTCTCAGATGCACCTGGCTGCTGCTGCTGCGGTCCTGGCGCTGGAAGGAACCCCCACTGAATGCACATCACAGCAGTGCGAGGTGCAGTGAGGACACTTCCTGCTGGAGCCGACACACAGCGAACCACATGCTTTTAGAAAGAGCCTTCTGTCACACAGTTAGAACCCAAAACCCCACAGAAAACCTGGAGAAAATATATCTAAATCTCTGATAGGTCTCTTAGCTAGCAGTGAGTTCAGTATGACAGCATAGAGTCTAAAAATATTAAAAATAAGTTGCTTTGGTTAGCATTAACACCTTTCCCGTTCAATAAAAGATTTTTGTAATGAGGAATGTTGAATATATATCAAGTCTGACACTCAACCCTGAATTTTGGGGGCATATTTTACCGAGCTAAGAGCAGAAAACACTGACGTCCCAGGCTGAAGGCATCTGCTGCGACCTGCTATGGCCCCCGAGGCCTGAGCCTCAGCATTACACCCCACAGCACTTGGAAGGAAGACTTAAAGGACATGTTGAGGGGCAGGGAGGGGACACAAGAACCCATGGGGCACCCTGGCAGAGATGGCAGCGGGGGAAGCAGGAAAGCCATGGGCATCAGGTGCAGGAGGCAGCAAGCCGGGCAGATGGAGCCGGAGCTGGAGAGGAAGCGGTCCAGGCGCCCTTCCCAGGACGGGTTCTGCAGCAGCCAGTCTCCTTCCTGCTTCAGGGTGAAACGTCAGGCTGGGGAGGGTTAGGGATGCCGACCCCGGGGGCAGAGGGGGCGGCCTGCGCCGGGCCAGAGGAAGCTTCTTCCCCGAGACCACGCATGAAGGCCCTGGGACCCCTGCTGGCCGTGTCCCCTGCCCGCCCCTCCTACACCAAAGAGGACTTGCAATTCAGACAAAAAGTAAGAACAGAAAGACCTGCATTCGCCTTTTCGTAATGATAACATTTATAAGCAGAAACTTAGTACTTATTCCTGTTCAATATTTAGTTTTCCTTCGTTGCTGACTTTATATTTTCTACATAGGATAGGTACTCTGCGATAGTAATCTCTTCGTCTTCCAGAGTTGAGTCCAGGTAGTCCTCCTCATGCTCTGGAATGTCTTCCAGAATCTCATTGACGGCCTCCGTCTCCATGTCTTCGTCTGTCGAGGCACTGGAGGTTCCTACAATCAAACACCGCAGGAGTGAGTGAGTTATGTGGGGATTGTCCTGGGCACACGCATGACCACAGTCAACCTCAGACTGTGCCTCCTGCGGGCCACACTCTCCAGGAGGCCGGCCCGTCGACATCACAGGACGCCCCTCTCAGTCTCCACGTCCGCCGAGGCCTAGGGCACGGGCCCCATCTGTTGGCTTCTGAAGACACTTTGCTCTTAACATGGCCCTCAGAGACTCACACCTACCTGCGGAGTCTGAAGGAGACGTGGTTG